AGACAAGCTCTCCCTACTCCAAAATACCCTTTCTACTCTTCCCAATTTCCACATCGATGCCACACACTATGTATATTTTCATTTTTAACACTACTTTAGAATCCGCTGGTTCCTTCTATGTGGTTCTAAGTATCAGATATGTGTGTGTGTGTGTGTGTGTGTGTGTGTGTGTGTGTGTATATGATATAGATGTGTGTGTATATATACATACACAAAAACCAATTATTTTAAAACTTTTGAACCATGGTTTTGAGCTATACCACATTAGGAAAAGAAAAAAGCCTTTTTATTTTTCTTTTTACTGTTTTATCAGATGCCATTATTTAGTTATTGTTTTTTTTTTTTTTTTTTTTTTGGAGACCAGGACTTGCTCAGTCACCCAGGCTGGAGTACAGTGGCGCCATCATGGCTGACTGCAGCCTTGATTTCTCTGGCCCAAGCCATCCTCTTGCCTCGGCTCCTGAATAGCTGGGATTATAGACGTACCACCACAGCCAGCTTTTTTTCTTTTTATCAGAGACGAGGTTTCGCTATGTTGCCCAGGCTGGTTCCAAACTCCTAAGCTCAAGTGATCCTCCCGCCTTGGCCTCCCAAAGTGCTGGAATTACAAGTGTCAGCCACTGTGCCTGGCCTAGTTAATTTTTAAAAATATGATTAGAACATTTTATTTTGTTTTTTAGAGACAGAGTCTCACTCTGTCACCCAGGCTGGAGTGCAGTGAGATGATCTCGGCTCACTTAACCCTCCACCTCCTGGATTCAAGTGGTTCTCCTGCTTCAGCCTCCTGAGTAGCTGAGATTACAGGCGTGTATCACCATGCCCAGCTAATTTTTGTATTTTTAGTAGAGACGGGGTTTCACCATATTGGCCAGGCTGGTCTCGAACTCCTGACCTCAACTGATCCAGCTGCCTCAGCCTCCCAAAGTGCTGGGATTATAGGCATGAGCCACTATGCCTGGCCAGAAAATTTTAATTTATGTTTCAGGACTTAGTGACATTAAATGACTCATTTAATGTTAAACTGTTGGGATACTTCTTATAAATTACTGGTATATCTTATTCCTATTATAGGTAGTTATTTATGAAAAGCCTTTCTTTGAAGGAAAATGTATGGAACTAGAAACAGAAATGTGTAGTTTTGTCATGGAAGGAGGTGAAACAGAAGAGGCGACTGGAGGCGATCATTTGCCATTTACGTCAGTGGGGTCTATGAAAGTTCTAAGAGGCATGTAAGTACATGGGTGACTCGTTAGGATTTCTCTTTTTTTCTTCTAAATATTAAGTAATAAATGTGTCCTTTCCCCCATAAAAACAACATTTCTGATTCTATAGTATGGTGAATTTTGACAGTCATGTCCATGTTCTCCTCGGCCTATAGTTACTGGATTTAAGAAAGCAGCTTGAGGCCAGGCACGGTGGCTCATGCCTGTAATCTCAGCCCTTTGGGAGGCCAGGATGGGCAGATCACCTGAGGTTGGGTGTTCAAGACCAGCCTGACCAACATGGAGAAACACTGTCTCTACTAAAAATACAAAATTAGCTGGGTGTGGTGGTGCATGCCTGTAATCCCAGTTACTCGGGAGGCTGAGGCAGGAGAATTGCTTGAACCCGGGAGATGAAGGTTGCAGTGAGCTGCACTCCAGCCTGGACAACAGAGCGAGACTCGTCTCATTAAAAAAAAAAAAAAAGCAGTTTGAGGGAACAGTGTGGGAATCAGTCCACCAAGCAAGGCTGATACATTGGCCTGTTCAAATTGATTAAATCTAAAACCTTGCTTATTAGAATTATGTTCCAAGCTATTGAGTGGTTTGATAGTTCACTTTCTAATTTTTATGTTTTTGAATTTTATAGATCTTACACAATTCCCATAGAAGTGTACACTAAAATTTCTCTTGTAAATTGCCAACTATTCACAATATTTTTGTTCTTATTTGAAGTGAGTTTTTCCAGTTTTACTTGCTGAGGTTTGAGTCAGTCCTTATTAAACACACACACATACACACCACTCACACACACACTCCCCTTCCCTCCTTTATACAACTCTGATATATGTCCCTTAGGTTATTTTCTTGGGGCCATTCTGTTATTCTAAATTTTAGAGAATTCCAATGATAATGCGGAAGTTCATGTCTAGCTTTATAATTATTTGTATTTTTCAATGAAATGGATATGTACCTTGAAAACATTTTAATGTGTCTGAAAATTACTACTCATCATGTTCTTTGTGTTGTAGTTGGGTTGCGTATGAGAAGTCTGGATTTACAGGTCATCAGTATTTGCTAGAAGAAGGAGAATACCGGGACTGGAAAGACTGGGGAGGTTACAATGGAGAGCTTCAGTCTTTACGGCCTATATTAGGTGTAAGTTAAGGAAAAGCTAGTGGCTAATACTTGGTCTTCTTTAGATAATAAATGGCTAGCCTTTGAATCTTTAATTTTTTTTCTCAATAGGATTTTTCAAATGCTCACATGATAATGTACAGTGAAAAAAACTTTGGATCCAAAGGTTCCAGTATTGATGTATTGGGAATTGTTGCTAATTTAAAGGAGACCGGATATGGAGTGAAGACACAGTCTATTAATGTACTGAGTGGAGTGTAAGTGAAATGATCCAATTGGAATTTTAAACATAGTTTTGCCTTGGCTTATGTTAAACCGGTAAGAGTCTATGACAGAGTAGGCACTCAATACACAAATATCTCAACAGCTTCACATTACATCAGTCATTTAATAGTTGTTGCATGATATTTTCGTTAACTCTCTTTAAAACTCTTTCTCACACAGTCTCTTCTTTTTACGGGTAATATAACTTTTGGAGTAGGCTTTTGGGTATCGCGATAGAAATCTACAGATCTGCTTCCCTTGTCATTCTGCATAGAGAGAGCATGAATTTTTTAAATGAGGGGAATCAAATAATAATAGTAATCTAACATAAACCTGAGGCTGGGTCAAAGTCCCATTAGATTTTCCTGTGGTCCTACACCTGTTCCAGTATATTTCTTCTCTATTAGTTTGACATAAAAATAATTGTTCAGTGTACTTGAAGTTAGCAGTTGACTGTTTTATTAGTGGTAAAGCAAGTTTTTATTGAAAGATGTTTAATCAAGATTCTTTGGGATGAAAGTGACTGCAAGCCAAGCTAAATTGGCTTAAAGGCTTAAAATGGAACTTACTGGTTTAAGTAACTAAAAAGTCCTGGAGAAGATTTTGCTTCAGGCATGGCTGGATGCAGGGGATCAAACACTGTCATCAGAACTTGGTCTCTGTGTCTTGACTGGGCTTTTTTCTGTGTTGACTTGACTTTAGATAGGCCCTTTGCATCTGCTGGCCTGTGGCCACATCTGGTTTCTATTCTTTTTTTTTTTTTTTTGAGGCAGAGTTTTACTCTATCACCCAGGCTGGAGTGCAGTGGTGACATCTCAGCTGACTGCAACCTCCACCTCACAGGTTCAAGCGATTCTCCTGCTTCAACCTCACAAGTAGCTGGGACTACAGATATGCACCACCACGCCTGGCTAATTTTTGTATTTTTTTTTTTTTAGAGACAGGGTTTTGCCATGTTGCCCAGGCTGGTCTCGAATTCCTGAGCTCATGTGATCTGCTCACCTCAGCCTCTCCAAGTGCTGGGATTACAGGCATGAGCCTCCATACCTGGCCACAGGTCATTTCTTGCAGTGGAAAGAGCTTCTCTTTTTCTCACAAGTTGCATGTGTGACTTTGCTTTCCTAGGCTTGGGTCATGTGCACATGCCCGAACCAATCAGTGTAGCCATGGAGATGGCTGTGTGTGGGTTATGTGTCCATCCCTAGAGCTGAGATGTAGGGTCTATCCCATAGGAGCCACTTAGATATGACTGGGGTTGGTGGTTACCCAGGAATATCAGAAAGAGTGGGGGGAGAGATTCAGATGGGCAAAAACAGCAGATGGCTATTATAAGGAGTCACATAATTATTTTTATAATCCAGGCTAATGTCTATTCTAATTTGTTGTAAGTGAGAGTATGCTTAAATAGGTATATGAAATAATGTAGCATTGGTTATGGTGAAAGTTTTGGTGTTAGGTTTTCATTGTCATAGTGACATAGACTATTTGAATCATCCTAGTCTCAACCCCGTTGTGTCTCATGGGGCCTCTCACAACAGCCCTGGATATTTGAATTGCGTGTACAATGTAATAAAAATTGATAAACATGCTTAACTTTTAGTAAATGGATTTAAAAAAACCTTGTTCACCAAATTCTTGTCTAGGCTGTTGCATGTGGTGCCATCTTGGCAGAGTATCAGTGATTTCTGGGTCTTCCACTCTTAGTGGGAAATGCCTGCTATTGGGTCCTGTTCTGGAGCCCTAACATTTTAGAATCAGTAGCCTGTTTGCAACAGCTGGAAGTCATCTGAAATACATGGTACAAGTCACCTAAAATATTGCTGGGGCTCTGCAGTATTTTAGATCGCCTTTAAAGCTAATTATTTAGGAGGAAAACATAGTGACCAACAGTCTGGTCAAACAGTTGTACATTTTGATACTCACCAGATGTGCTGGTTCTATTAGAGCCCAGTCATCCACCCTGGGAGAGGAGGCAAAAGGATGCTGGGTAGAATTCCTTTAGGCATTTTGTAGGTGATGCTGTTAACACAGGTAGGGTTACTGCGCCTTGAGCCAATCTCCTTTCCTTTTTACCCAGGCCTTGCTTACTTGAAATCAGTTTCCTTTGTAAAGTGCTGCTACTATGTTTCTATTTTTAGTCATTGCTAATTACATTTCCTGGCTTAGGCTTTTTTTCTGACTATAGCAGTTAAGTTTTGGTAGAAGGGGGAAGTAGAAGGGAGGTACATACACATACATGGACACACACACACACACACACACTTCCTTTTAAACTCTGCATGTGGAATGGCTTTTGTATTTACCAGGGCCAGCTGCTTCCCCATATTTCATTCAATTTGTCATTTGACAAGTATTTATTGAGGTCTATTATGTGCAAAGCATTGTATGATGTCCTCAAAGAAGTTACAGTATTTATTTAAAACATAATTATTGCTACAAAAGAGGTGGAGATTAAATGCTCTGAGAATCCACAGCAGAGAGTAATTTCCAGTCTGGACACGGGAGGAAGACTGTGGAGGAGGCAGCATTGCAGATAGGCCTGAGGGATATAGGATAGGAAGGCTGAGATGCGCCAAGATGGTGGAGGAAGACTACCTATTCACTTTTCATAGTTTCAAAGGAAAATTATTGTATTTTAATGGCTTTACTTTTACTGGTAATAGAATATTTTAGCTTGCTTCTTTATTTCTTAGTATGGCACGCAATGCCAGGAAAAAACTCTTCTGAAGTTCTTGTTCCATGAAAGTATCTCCCAGGAGGCTCACCATCACATGGGTAATAAATCCCCTGGGTAGTAAACTCATCATTAGCCCTGAAACAGAGAACAGCCTTCAGGAAGGATGCCCATGAAACCAACAACTGAAGTTTTCAGGTTTTGATTTCTTACTGGAAATGTTGAAAGAAACTCTCTGCTTATCAGTTTCTCGTTCTATGCTATATTCTTGCTCAAATAGTGGAAACTGGGCTAGTTTTTTAAAACTAGGAGCAAAATGGAATATTTCTAGTGTTCAGATAAAAACAAAAAGTGTTGTTTTATATTCGTTTTCCTTCGGCCTTCCACAGAAGGGCAGGTTTACCCTGCTGCCCTTACCTTCTGAGCAATTATTCCACCAGGCTGGGACCTGCTAGTACTTGTACATGCCTTTCCCCCATCTCCTCACCAGTCTTTAAACAGAGGAGTGTTGATTCACATGTACGGAATACACCTGGACAAGGACAGTAAGGGATTTTTTGAAGAGCCTCAAGTGTAAGCTGTAAGCAGACTCGGATCACAGAGCAGAGAATCTCAGATCTGGGTTTTGCGGTTTCTCCCCTCCTCCACTCCCCGCCGTATTCATGGGTGATTCATCAGGTATCTTGGAGGGAAAACAACACTACTGTCACTTCAAGTAACATCTTAATAAATTGTTTTCTGGCTTCAGCGAATTAGAGATAGGCTTAGCTGGGTGTTGGGTATTTACTTACAAGTAGTTGAATTTTACGGGAAAATATGGTACCCATATGTCTTAGTAAAAACATACGAGTATTGGCTAAAGCTGCTGCCAGGGCTTGCTCAGTTGCTGCCTTCTCTCCTTGGCATTCAGTCTCCCTCCTCACTGTCTTCTTTCCCTCCAAACCTTGAAGTTAAACAGAAAGGCCTTTACGCCTCTGATTTCTAACTTGTTACAGACCCAGAGCCCTGCTGAGAACACTTTTTTCCTTGTGGCTCTTCTTCTCTAATTGTTCATTGTTTTTTTTTTTTCAGTCCTAGTTTTTGTAAAGTAGATTTTCTTGATGTGCAGACACTCCTTCCACGTAGCAGTGCTCCCTGCTCTGGCTTTGCTTTTGCTTCCCTTCATGCTGAGGGTAAAGCCTAAGGCCCTGAAGGCGGAGGCAGCATGGGTGGGTACTGGTGTGCTGTACAGCATCACCTGGTCAGCCCGGGGACCTTGGCCCACTCCCTTACTTACACTTGAAAATACAAACTTTCAGCCAGGCGCAGTGGCGCACGCCTGTAATCCCAGCACTTTGGAAGGCCAAGGCAGGTGGATCACGAGGTGAAGAGATCAAGACCATCCTGGCCAATGTGATGAAACCCTGTCTCTACTAAAAATGCAAAAATTTGGTGGGCATAGTGGCACGCACCTGTAGTCCCAGCTACTCGGGAGACTGAGGCAAGAGAATTGCTTGAACCTGGGAGGTGGAGGTTACAGTGAGCTGAGATCCCACCATTGCACTCCAGCCTGGTGACAGAGCAAGACTCCATCTCAAAACACAAAACAGAACAAACAAAATGAACTTTCACAAAGGTTAAGTGACTTCTTCAAAGCTATCTGAAAGTTAATGTCATGGCTGCAGATAGAGCCAAGTCTCCTATTTCCTCACCTCTCAATGATAATGAATAGGTTTTTAGTCCTGGTATGCTGGCTTAAGCCTGTGATCCTAGCACTTTAGGAGGTTGAGGCGGGTGGGTCACTTGAAGTCAGAGGTTCGAGACCAGCCTGGCCAATATGGTGAAATCCTGACTCTGCTAAAAAAATAAATAAGTAATTTTAAAAAAAATAAGTTTTAAAAATTGCTAGCGAGGTTCTGAAATCAGGGGGTTGGGATGATAGGGGGCTTATTTCCTGAAGGACTGAGTGGTGCTTACAGCAGCTTCTCCATTTGGGTGGCCGGGGGTGAGTGCACAGATGTTGGCTGTCACAGCTACTTCTCACTGGAGATTTTTGTAGTGTTCTTTTTCTCCTTGATGGCTGTCTATATTCTAATAATGACTGTACTTTCATTTTTGTTGAAATCAGCCCTTTGGATAGTAAGGGAACTTTACAGGGTACATGGCAGTTTGGGTCACAGAGCAAGGGGAGCCTGGTGAGCCTCAGGACAGGCAGGTCCACTCATGTTCTGGCTAATAGTTGATTGTGTCACCCTGGACAGGTCATTTCCCATTCAAAACAAATACCAACAAATAATTCCATGTGATGCTTCTTACCCAAATGTGAACTTTGGAGGACAGGGATTTTGTCATTTTCATCATTGTATATCTAGTGCCAGTCTAGTTCCTGGCACCTGGTAAATGAATACACTTCCCTGTGTCTTAGGTTTTTCCTATCTGTAAAATGGGAACACCAGTACCTCCCTAGAAGATTACATGTGATAACAGATGTAGAAACATTTTGCAAAGTTCTGATCACTCTAATAATATCTGAAAAATGTTATTCCTTCGCTTTGAGAGGATCATGAGAGTGATGAATTAATTGAGGAGATACTTAATGTCTTTAACAGTATTAAGTATCTCTTTACTATAACAGAACTGAAAAACCTTTTCCCGTCAAAGACTTTATCTTTGGATAGGAAATAGCATGATTAAATTGGTTTTGTTGATTTTCCTTCTGGGTGTAGATCACTTAAAAGAGAAAGAAAAATTTCCAAAAGAGATTTATTTTTAGTATTTCTGTGAGTTTTGTTCAATTTTGTTTATTACATATTTATGTGATGTTGGAAACACTGTTTGGAACAATATTTTATAGTTCAGTTCTGCATTTTTAAAAAGCATTTCTTCTGTTAACTTCTTTTTCAGTGTGGTTTGTTGTGTAACAGACACTGCTTCCTAAGATCTTTCTGCAAAAGCATTTTAAGGTTGAGAATGAAAGGATTTATTGATTGTTTATTAGAAGAACTAGGTTCTTCTGCAAGTCCTGTTGTTTTTGTTGTTGTTTCCTTAGAACAGTTAGGAAAACAGCACACCCTTGTAGCTTTCTCAAGGAATAGGATTTGGTAAGCGAGAACAGCAAAAAGTTCATGTCGGGATACTCTTAGGCTTGCCATTTCTTTCACATTAAATTGTTTTTTCAACTTTTATTTTAGATTCAGGGGGTAAATGTTCAGGTTTGTGTCATGGGTATATTGCATGATTTGCTGAAGTTTGGGGTACAGTTGAATCCATCACCCCAGTAGTGAGCACAGTATGCAATATGTAGTTTTTCAAACTCCCCTCCCTCCTGCCCCCTTTTGTAGTTCCCAGTTCCTATTTTTTTATCTCTATGTCCATGCATAACCAAGGTTTAGCTCCCACTTATGAGCAAGAAGATGCTCATAAGTATATGTTCTTGCTCATAAGTATTTGGCATTTGGTTTTCTGTTTGTGTTAATTCGCTTAGGATAGTGGCCTCCAGCTGTATCCAGGTTGCTGCAAAGGACTTGATTTCATTCTTTTTTGTGGCTGTATAGTATTCCATGGTTTATATGTACCACATTTTCTTTATCCAATGCACCGTTAATTGATGAGCACCTGGGTTGATTCCACATCTTGCTATTGTGAATAGTGCAGGAGTAAACAATACATGTGTGAGTGTCTTTTTGGTAATGATTTGTTTTCCCCTGGGTATATACCCAGTAATGGGATTGCTGGGTCCAATAGTAGTTCTATCTTTAGTTATTTGAGAAATCTTCAAACTGCTTTCCACAGTGGCTAATAAACTGATACATTCCCACAGCTGTGTGTAAGTGTTCTCTTTTCTCTGCTGACTTACCATTTTGATTTGTCTATAGGACAAACCCATCTGCTTTAAAAGGTTAATAGAGAATCAGAAAAATTAAGATTTTAATTAGCAAAACAAATTAAAGTTTCAGTATGATGCATATTTATCCAAATATGTGATCATTTTATAAGTAAAATATGAACTCTAACAAGTTATTGTTTTTGTTACTTAGATGGGTAGCCTATGAAAATCCTGACTTCACAGGAGAGCAGTATGTACTGGATAAAGGATTTTATACCAGTTTTGAGGACTGGGGAGGCAAAAATTGTAAGATCTCTTCTGTTCAACCTATATGTTTGGTAAGGAGTTATATTTTCATATGAGAGTATTTAACTGAATTCTGGATTTTCTTAATGTGTGTTTCTGGTTCATATAATAGTAATTGCTAAGGAAAATATTCTGAGTTTATTTTTAGCAGTAATTGCTAATAATCTAGAAGAAAAAAATTTTCAATGTGTCTGTTCCATTCATTTCCTTTTGTCCTTTAAACATTTTTAGGATTCTTTCACTGGCCCAAGGAGAAGAAATCAGGTAACTTTAAAAATATTCTTTTATGTTAATATGTGAGGGGCCTTCCATTGAAAAGCTGAACCTATGTTTAAACTGTCAGACATTTGGGACTAGGTGCGGTGGCTCATGCCTGTAATCCCAGCACTTTGGGAGGCCAAGGTGGGCAGATCACTTGAGCTCGGGAATTTGAGACCAGCCTGGCCAACATGGTGAAATCCCATCTCTACTAAATGTACAAAAATTAGCTGGCTGTGGTGGTTTGTGTCTATAATCCTAGCTACTCAGGAGGGTGAGTCAGGAGAATTGTTTGAACCCCAGGAGGCAGAGGTTGCAGTGAGCAGAGATCGCACCACTGCACTCCAGCCTGGGTGACAGAGAGAGACTCTGTCTCAAAAAACAAACAAACAAACAAAAACAGACATTTTGGACATTTTGTTAGTTTTACTCATTTTTATGCCTGAAAGCATAATTGTATTTTAAAAATAAGATTTAAGTTTACTTTAATGGTTGACAGTACTGACCCATGTCTAAATACTTCTTATAAAATGCTCTTATTGTATAAAGCTGAATTTTATTGAATCAGAGTTTACATTAATACATTGAGATTAATATTTCAAATAGTAACATCTAGTTATTGTGATGGTAAAATGAATTTTCATATTTGCTGTGTTGGCACTAGACATTTTATATGGTCTCACTCAAGTCTTTCGAATGCCGATTCTTAACATGAACTGGAAGGGACATTTGTTATTTAGGCCTTTTAATGGAAGTGTTCACAGAGCCTTAATTACAGAGGAACAAACACCACTGTAGCCTCCTTTATTGGCTTTTACAGGATTCTGATAAGTCAGCAAGTATCTTCCATTGATAGGGAAGAAAACTACACTATGTCTTTCTAAAATACTGCTTGTTGTTAATGTTAGAACTGACGAACAATGACTTTTAGCCACAATAAAGCTTTAATATACCTCACAGCTTAACAACACCGTGTTCCACAGAAAGTTACCTCTGTTGTTGCATTTTACTTTGATGTTTCTGAATTAAATAGTCATGAATGGTACAGCTAACATGTTTCTAATTGATCATTAATGTAGACGTGGAAAATTAAAGGATTTATAAAATTCACACCAGTTTACTGTAACAAAAGTTAACAAGTCACGTTTGGGTCATCATTTCAAAGGCTAAATTAGTTAATGTGTTCAGGAAAATAATTTTATGTGTTTCTGTTTACTTTTTCAAAGATTCACTTGTTTTCAGAACCACAGTTTCAAGGTCACAGTCAATGTTTTGAAGAAACAACAAGTCACATTGATGACTCATTTTCTACCAAGTCTTGCAGAGTTTCAGGA